CCTGAACCAGGATTTCCTCCAGGTTCCAGTTTCTGTAGCAAAGGAAATCGAACCATTCTGGCATCGTAATATAGGCACAAGAAGATCGCAGGGCAAATGTTGCGTCAGACAGCATTATGGCTCAGTCGAAGATCAGAAGACACGCGGAAAGAACATGGTCCTCTTCTTTTCTCATTTTTCAGCTCGACGTAAGCGACTATGGGGGAGGGGGAGGCTTGCACCGTTCTTAATTTACCACAACTAGGACGCTGTTCGCAGCTCATGTGATCCGATTTGAAAATCGACCAGGGTCAACCGTTACGTTGGACCGATATTGGAGCGACGTTGGACCGATGTTGACCGCTCTCCGCGCCGGCATTCACTCTCGCCACCCGCGAGCCGTCTGTGTCTCCGTGCGTACGTTCACTCTCGGCATTACTCTCACACGTCGTCGCGTTGGACTTTGTCCAACGGACGGTTGACCCTGCTTGAAGGTCGCGTCGCGGAGTTAGCCAGGAGCGCGCTATCTTTCATCCAGGCGGCGAAGGAACGGGCGCCGTCAGACAAGATAATTCGAGGAACACAACATTTTCAAAATCACACTTATTATATAGGTATATTTGGCATGTGCATGACGTCGGCTTCCAGAAAACTACAAGGATTACCTAACAAGCCAGGAAGTACTTCTGTTAGAAGTGGAAAACCCAAAATTCTAAGAAGGCGCACCTTCAACTTTGAAGGCCCATAAAATCTTTCGTATGCGACATTTTGGAAATCTGTAAAAAGTTTCAGAAACTTCAAATATTTCTCTAACAAAACAGTATAAAAAGTTTAGTGATTGTCCCCTTTTTCAAAAAATTGTCCCGTTCGCACTTTTTTCGTGCGAAGCGAGTTTTTCGGGCTTTCAGTAACCATAACTTTCTCATTTTTCGTTTTTATGGCAAACTTTTAACACAGCGAAGAATACAGATTGTGAGCTTCCTAGTAGTGACTTAATCCCATCTTAAAGTCCACTTTTCGAAAAAATCACACGTTCGCATTTTTTTTCTCCTAGGTTTTTGAGAAGTAACTTTGAGTTTTTCGAG